AACTTGTTACTTTTAAAAAGTAACTTTCCATTCCCTGATATAAACCTATAAATATGTATCATATACGTAGATTTTATACTTAATAGTATATACAGTTACTTTTTAGTATATACAGTTATTTTTAATGGTAATATATATTATTAGATAATCATTTCAATTTTTAAAGTTTACATTTTTGAAGATCTGTTTACATTTTAATATATCTCTATAGATCCATAAAGATGGGTATATTAATAGTTAATATACCGTTCGTTCAGCGCGGTTCCTCAATCGCGGCCGTTATAGGTTAGGGATCTCACATTTCATTCACTAATTACCAATGGCATACTTGGCACTGATATCAGTGATTATCCACTGATTCAGATTTAGAGAGTAGACTAATTCTATAAGAAGATTCCGATCACGACGCGCGGTGCAGACATTGCAGCGCGTTTATTGCAGATAATTAATATAATAATTAATAATCAAAAGGCACTCACAAAAACATTGAAATACTGGAGAAAAATTTATATTTTTCATGTAATATTTATCTTAATTATTTTGAATCAATAAATACCAGCATATTATTTCGTTATGCATGTAATCTCTTCAAATATGAATAATATTAAACTATCAGCAGAGACATGAAATTAAGAATAGTTACAGTAGGAGGTATACCGTTGACAATGACTCGGTCACAAGCATGCGATTAGCTCTGCGTAAATGTATTAGGCTTACCGTTCTAGGGACCTAGGTTCAAATCTTGCCAGCGACGCGTTTTTAAATAATTAATTGTAGTTAATAAGGCAGAATATAGGTATGCGAAACAGTAAAAATATAAATCGGAAAATTGGAAAAATAAAAAGTAATAATAAAAAAATTATTTTTTTCGTTAAGATATAACCATAATTTTTTTATTACAAGTAAATATGATACTTTATTCATAATAAAGCGTAGGAAGAATTCTTCTTAAGAAAAATTAAATTCAGGAAGTGAATTGGTATATTAACTATTAATATACGTAAATTCGCATGAAAATCGTCGTTTTCATTATTACCATAGTCATTGCTATAGCTAATACTGAAGAAGTTTTTATACGAACTTCTGGACACAAGAACAGATATATTAACTATTAATAAAGCAAGCTTTAAAAATTAATATTCGTACATTTATGAGTAATTTTGCGTGCTTTAGCAATAAATCGATGGTTTTCAATATACCATGTCTTAACTATGAAGAAATATTTATTAAAACCCAATACAAAAAGTGTTTACATTTACAGCAAAGCATATATATTATCTATTAATATACAGTTTTCTCCGTGCACATTGCATGATTCGCGGAAATATGGCGAGATTTCTTTGCGGAATTATGCGCTGAGAGAAAAATGTTTGGTATTTGTAACTATAATTACATATCACTATAATTATGATTATTACTACTATAATAATAATAACAGTAACTATGTATATAGTTATAGCAACAAATGTATATAGTTGGCAACCTAAAATGACTATAATTATAGTTGTTATAACCATAAAATAGTTGAAAAAAACCATAAAAATGATTCAAGTGACTATAATTTTATAGTTATATTTTGGGACAACCATAAAAAATATGTATCTCGTCAGGAAGCACAAAGGCTGTTCTTTCGGTAGACAGCAGGTGGTCGTGCTCGGAATGCGGAGAGCCGATGTACATTGTATTCTCGCGCAGCATGTGCCCACTCTGCGTACATTGAAAAACTATTAAGTGCTCCGTGTAAGAGTGAGATCTAAAGACTGTGATCTAAAGACATGGGAGTGAGTGGAACGCGAACTGTTGGAGCAGTGCGGCCAGGTCGCTACTCTGGTGGAATGTTTCGCGTGGCTGCAACGATGCGACGAGTATATCGAACAACTCGAAAAACTTTGTCATACCAAACGTCCGCGCCTCGCCGTTGGACACAGATAATCTGCGATGGCGAGAATCGCGTGACTCGCGGGTGCAAAGTTGCAATTGGAACGACGGTTCGTACATATTGGTGGCGAGTACGCGAGTGGCAATTCCTTTCGCCACTTTCGATCTCTTATCTGACGAGAGATCGACCCCGCGTTCGAGAGTCGTATATTGACAGGCGCGGTGATAAACTCTAATCACATCGAGCCGCGGCGGTTTTTAGAAGACGCTTGCAATATAGTGCTCAAGCGAGTGCGAGACACTGTAGAAAGACGGTAGTATAAAAGTGAACACTGCGTTCAATGGCGAGTTCGCGACGAAGGATAAACGTGCTAACAAGAGCATAATTACAAAGAACAGCAAGATATATCGATGCAGTGATATACGCGAGTGGTACGATCAGCTATCGAGCGCATCTTGGCGTCGCTCGAAGAGTTCCAGGAACGCGACAGCGGGCGCTGTCGCAAATCCTCAACTTGACTGTTAACGTGAACAAACTAAATCCCATACACGCGAGATGTTATGTCGAAATGCCGCGGGAAATTGCGACGAAACGAGCGGTGATCAATGTGCGTACGACGGACAATGCGTGCTACGTGTGGTCAGTGGTAACCGCTCTGTACTCGGGTGAAGAACGTATGAATTGGGAATCATCATACCCGCATTACACCGCAGGATTAAATCTCGCGGGTATCAAGTTTCCGATGACATTAAAAGACATTTCCAGATTCAAACATTTGAACGCGGTGCCGATCAATGTATACGGCATTGAAAATGGACAGGTCCTTCCTCAACGCCTCAACGGTGACAAGAAGGAGAAACACGTCAATTTCCTGTATCTGCAAGATCCACGCAACGACGATATCGGCCACTTTGCGTGGATAAAAAACCTGTAACGTCTCGTGAGCTCGCAACTCACAAGAAAGGTGCACAAGAAATATTTCTGCGATCGGTAAGTATTATAAGAAAAGCAGGGATGGGAAGTAACTCGTTACTTGTAACGAAGTTACAGTTAGAGTTACTTTTTTTCAGTAACTGTAACTTAACTTCGTTACTTTCTTTCCATCTGTAATTATAACTTAACTTAGTTACATCTTTTAAGTAACTAGTAACTAATTTAATAGTTACTTTCATAGTTATTTTATATATTTGAAACGTATTTGTCAATTTAGTGTGTGGTAGTGTCCACTTGGCGCTACAAATACTTCGAAATATTTGATTAATCAGAAGAAAGAAATTTAATTAAAGCGTTCAATGAACTCTTGTACCTGTTTGGTCTATATTTTGGGATATAATGGAATCCGCCAATCAAATACAAGAGCGCTCAGTGAATGATTGTAAACTATTTTGGATTAGTGCTGGAATTTATTTGCAACTTTTAGCCGAATAAAAAAAGAATTTTTTTTACAAAAAACATTGTGTGCTATTTCATATTCATATTCATATTCATATGTGTTTATATTACTTTAACAAAAAACGTCTTTGCCATACAATTTTTTTTATCTTTTTGAATAAAATTGTATAACATGTAAATGTAAGCCAGTCTTTTTTTTTAATTGTCCAATGCTGCATTACACTGATGACCCCGTGTATCATCCTTGTTTAATATTAGGTGAAAAACAAGGGTAAAACGATACATGAAGGCAGTTGGATAACGTTTCTAATACAGCCCTAATGGTATCGATAATTTAGTAAAAATTCCGATGAAAAAAGTAACTTAAAAGTAACTTAAAGTTACTTTTTCAGTAACTGTAACTGTAACGAATTACTTTTCAGAGTCAATAACTTGTAACGGTAATTAATTACTTTTTGAAAGAGAAAAACTGTAACTGTAATTAATTACTTTTACAAAGTAACTTTCTCATCCCTGAAGAAAAGTAAGAAAAACAATATGTGAAAAAAACTATTTCTCTATTTACAGGTGCCTTCATTATTTTGGCTCATGCGAAGAATTACACGTAGTGGACTGCCAGAAGATGAACTACTGCGCCATCCAACTGCCGAGCGTGGACGACAAGTGGCTAGAATTCAGCAACTACTGCAACCAGGAACGAGTGCCGTTCATTGCCTACGCCGACCTGGAGTGCGTTTTACGCAAGACGAACTCCAGCAGGGAAGACGCGTCGTCGTACGCGTATCAGCAGCATGAAGCGTAGGATAGTACGTGCAGTGCTCGTATGATGACGCGTTATCGTCGTATCAATTCCGTCGCAATGAAGACTGTATAGCATGATTCGCGCGACAACTCAAAAACTTGGCGCATCGCGTGAAAAATATCATATCCGCCAACGTGCCCATGGAAACGTTGTCTAAACAGCAATGGGAGGCATACCGTAGCGCGACGCGTTGTCATATCCGTGAGAAACTGTTTGCGCCGGACGACATGCGGGTCCGCGATCATTGCCACTTAAATGATATAGATACCGCGGTCCAGCGCATCCAAATTGTAATCTTAACTATAAAAATTCATTCTATATTCCGGTCGTATTTCACAACTTATCGGGGTACGACGCGCACTTTATACTTAAAGAAATCGCTACCGCGTACGATGGACATGTAGATATACTACCGATAATCAAAGAAAAATACATTTCGTTCAGAAAACATGTCGATAGCATCAAAGACAAAAATGAAAACCATTTTCAGAAAAATTGTGTAAAATTAAGATTCATTGATTCCTATAAGTTTCTAAGTACAAGCCTCGATAAATTGGTGTATCGATAAAGACAAATTACAAGTTGTACGTTCCGAATTTTGCAAGCTCAGCGCGGAAGATTTCGATCTTCTCACACGAAAAGATGTATTTACGTATGAGTACGTTGACTGCTTCGAAAAATTGCAGGACACGCGCTTACCACCGCGTGAATTCTTTTTTAGTTCGTTGGCAGGTGATACAGTATCCGAGAGCGGATACGCTCACGCCGTAAACGTATGGAAACGATTATCCATTCGAACGCTCGGCGAGTACAGCGATCTGTACTTGAAACCGATGTTTTGTTATTAGCCGACATTTTCGAAAATTTCCGCAATAGTTGCATCGCGAGTTACGGTCTCGATCCCGCGCATTATTATACACTGCCAGGTTACACGTGGGACGCCATGCTGAACATACGCGAGTACGATTTGAGTTGCTCACCGACATTGATATGGTCATGTTCATCGAACGCGGCATACGCGGTGACCTCAGTCAATGCTGCAGCAGATACGCGCAGGCTAATAACAAGTACATGCGTTCGTACGACCCATCGAAACCGTCGTCATACCTTATGTACTACGACGTTAATAATTTGTACGGATTGGCGATATGTCAACCTTTCCCATACACTGAATTTCGATGGGTCGAAGACGCTGTGAACTTTGATGTGAGCGCGATCGCTCCGGATTCGCCCACCGGTTATATTCTCTAGGTCGATCTCGAGTATCCGTAACATCTGCACGACCGACACACTGACCTACCTTTCTACCGAACGCGCGATAAGCCGCCCGGCAAGCGCGATGATAAACTTCTAGCGACGTTGTACGATAAACAGCGTTACGTCATCCACTAACGTAACCTGCAGCAATGTACTCGTCACGGTCTTCGCGTAACAAAGATCCACCGGGTGCTCAATCTCCATGGCTCCGCGATTACATTGAACTTAATATACAATTTAGAATGCGCGCGAAAAACGATTTCGAAAAAGTTTGTATAAACTAATGAACAACGCGGTATTCGGCAAGACCATGGAGAATGTGCGCAATCACGTCGACGTAAAATTAATAACAAAATGGAATGGGCGATACGGCGCGGAAGCATTGATCGCGAAACCGAATTTCCACAGCCGCAGCGTCTTTGCGGAGAATCTAATCGCCGTCGAACTGCGCAAACTCGAGGTAAAGTTCAACAAGACGATTTAGGTGGGTATGTGCATACTCGACATATCGAAAGTCTGCTTGTACGAATTTCACCACGAGTATATGTCACCGATGTACCGCAACAAATGCAAAATTATGTACACCGACACGGACAGTCTCATTTACCATATAAAATGCGACAGTGCTTACGAGACTATGAAACGCGATATCGCTAGATTCGACACGAGCGATTATTCGGCGGACAATGCGTACAGTATACCTCTCGCGAATAAAAAAGTACCCGGACTGATGAAGGACGAGAACAACGGTGTATTAATGACCGAATTCGTTGGACTCAGAGCGAAGATGTACGCGGTGAGGGTGGACGGCAAGGATACTAAAAAGGTGAAAGGTGTAAAGAGTAACGTCGTAGGGCGAACGATAACGTTCGACGATTACACGCGATGTTGAATGAAGAGATCGAAATGATTCGCCGTCAATCGTGTATACGATCTAAATTACACAAAATATACATGATATCCGAATCGAAAATCGCTCTGAGTCCATACGACGACAAACGATACGTCGTACCGGACTCGACGAAGACGTTACCATGGGGGCATTGGCGGATACCTTTGTAATACATATATTATCTGTAGTATATGTTGCCATTATGTATTATGATTATTGTACTTTCATATAATACATATCGTATTTAATACATATCGGTTTTACATTTATATACGTAGTATATGTTACTATTATTTTTATGTATGCATGTATATATTCTATCTCTATACATGTTGTTAAAAAAAAAATTATGTATTATATTTTGTATTTATTATATTTTTGTAAAATTATGTATTACTACCTATGTATGTAAGTATTCTATCTCTATACATATATTGTTAAAAAAAATATTATGTATTTTGTATATTTCAAATGAAGATGAATGGGGAGGAATAAAAAAAAACGTTTATATACTTATACAAAAAACAGGATTCCGATGATACGAAGCAAAATCCATCTGAATCCTGTTTTCCGATTGGTTGCAAAGCATCGTATGACGCAAATCGGATGCAGTGTGAATCCAGCATTATATGGATATATATTCTTATATGTATAAAAAAATAGACGAATCAAAATTGTACCAAATGACATTTTTTGTATATCCACGAATTGTGCGATCCATCTCCCAGCCACTTGACGTACACCCTGTCTCCTTTCCTGCGCAGTATTTTCTCCACGAAATACACGTCGGGATGAATGGCGCGATGCAACTCATGCTCATAGAATGCTCCAGCGACGGATTTTTCGCGATAGTCCTCGAGCAGATAGGTTACGGGATTGGTAACGCTGCACCTTAACAATCGTAAACACCTTGGTGGTCCAAAAAAAAGTGGTGTGTAACCATCCTCAAAAACCGTCTTATACTTATTCACGCGTACCGAATCGCCCACTTTGAATTTTGCCGGACCAGCGATTTTTATCACGCTGTACACCGTGTCCAAGAGTTTTTCGGCGATCGCGAGAGTTACGTCGACGGGTCGCATGCCGACAGTGCAATGCTTGCACGCGTTGTAATCTGATACGAGACGCGGTAGCTCGTCGACCCACTTGTAATTGCCATTGAGTATAAACATCTTCCACATGTCGTTTTTCAGCGTGCGATTGAACCGCTCAACCACCGACGCTTTCAACGTCGAATACGTGGAATAGTGATTAATGTCGCGTTTTTTCAAGATCTGCACATCGGCGTTGTAAAACTCCTTCCATATCCGTTTGTAAATTTTTCGGACATCTTCCACTCGCTCGAATTATCTTAGCGATAGCGGCAGCCGTCTCCACCCTTGCTCTTGAGCGGTACGGCACGCGTACTTCCTCAACACATCGATGACGGTGAGTATAGTGGTGGCCTCTGTTGAAGCTCGAGTACGGGCGCATCTCGACGATATCAGCCTGCCACAGATCGTCGTATTCCTGGACTACGACACGCCTCGGCGGAAAATTTCTTCTCGCCGAAGCGTGCAATTCCTCGACGAGCCTACGTCTCTCAACGCCAACTTTTCTCTTTTTCATGATTCGACACGTACTACACAGGGAGCAAGAAAAAAATGTATTGTTTCTCGCCGACGTCACTCAACTGACTCGTTTCGTTGATACGCGATTTAATTTATAATAAGACCGGCTTCGCGAAGTTCCTCGATGATGGACAGCATCTCGTTGTCATGAGCGTTGTTGTCCGCTCGGTGCGAAACGTCGTAGACGATCCACCAGCTCGTTGGGATCGTCCCAGTGCACGTAATCAATTGCGTTGTCGTTTAGCGTCATTGCATGAGGTAATCCCTTTCCAGATTTCTTATTCTGTTTTTTGGGTGTCATCGACATCAACGGCGCGATTACGTGTTTGTACTTGTATCCCCTGTTGCTCAATAATCGGCCCTGTCAATGATGCTTGTGTTTGTCGCCAGCAGCATTCTCTTGTACTTGTTCATATCGCCTTCCGTGTAGAGGAGATCGTCGGGAATTCTCTTAAAAATCAACTCGTAAAGACCGGATATACCGGCGTATCGTACGTCGTCGATAATTATATTGTCTGCGTCATCCACGTCGAAACGTTTATTACCAAACACCAATCCATCCTTGTGCAGGTAAACGCTGTATACATAATAATCTATACCGCTCTTCTGTTTATCTCGCGCTCCCCTCACGACGTACTTTTGGCCCAGCGGGCCCAAACCGGCTCGCAACGCCTCTCGACCTTCCGACGTTTACAGCTAATTTTGAATCTTCGTTGCGAGTCATCCGTCGTTTCGAAAACGTTCTCCAACGATTCTATCGTCGATACGATCGTCGTACGCGGGATGGAGGTTATCGGCTGTACACGATCGTGCAATCGATCATCGGATTTACGCGGGGTCGCGGAACGCTCGAACGTCTCGCTCGCCTCCACTCTCTCCTCCTCCTCCACCTCCTCCTTCTTCTCGCGCTTGCGAGCAGACGCACGCTGTGTCATTGTCGCGCGACTGTCTCTTTATCGCGTGCACGCCGCGGTTATCAACGATCTGCCGCAGCGGTTTGATAATAGGCTTAAAATGCCTGTTCAACGCCATGTCCTCCGCGATACTACCGGTCTTCAAAGCGCGATGTTTCTTGCGGATCGACTCGCTCGTCTTCTGAATCACCCTCGCGATTTTTTCACGCTCGCGCACATCTGCCATATTTGTCTCTGATGAAGTATCGACAACGACTGATCACGTTACGGTATCGCGAACTCGTTAAATTCTTTTCTGTATCTCCTGTCTTTAAGCGCACTGTTCTTGTCTATCACTAGAAATCCATATTTTTTTCGCCAACAGTTGCGACACAACAAACAAAACTCGTCGTACGACATGTTGGTATTCACGCGATCGTTGTATACGTATTTCAAGTTGGTACCGTCCTGTTTGAACAGGATCAGCAGGTTCGCGTTGTCGCGTATCAGATGTTTAGGTATCCTCGCGTACGTCTGACAGAGATAGAAGCAGTCGACGTTCGCGTGGCGACCCATCGAGAAGTATTCTCTCACCACATCCTACTTGTCGTATGCCACGTCAACAAAGATAAAAATAGAATTTGGGCGCGGCTCACTCGGTGAAACGACATCGCTGTTGTTGGAGAATGTACAATAGCCGATTTCGTCGATAGAAGTAAATAAATTATTTAAGCAACGAAGGTCCAGCTTCGACCGTAATAGGCATTTTTAAATTTCTAGTATTGTGTTTCTTACATATACGGTCTAAAATAAAGATATTGTTTAGATTACGTCGTTGCCTGAAAGAAAGACGTTGTTTCCTTATTGTACCGATTATTGAGAAGAATATTACTAAGGCTTCAGTGATCTAATGGCTTAGGACGCTCGTACTGAATACAAGAGATCCGGATTCAAGTCCCGGCCGAGGTAATATTTTTCGCAATAAATTTATTGACAGTTTTAACATATTAACATCTTTATAATATATGATGCTTGATGGTAATATCAAATTATTAATTGCTTGTCAATTTAATTCGCGATTACTAGAGTAGTTTTAATTGCGTTTATTTAGTCCGGAAAAATAATTCGGCGCGCAGTTTGAAAAAAAAAAGACTACAACATGGTATATATGCAAGTACATATATAGTATATATTAGTAATTCAAGATTGAATTACTTAAGGGGGGAAATACCTTTAGAAGGCCAAAAATAAGCCGATTTTCAGAATATTTTTTGGGAGGGAAAAATTTATCGGGCACTTTTGCAATTTCAGGCACTTTTTGTTTATACTTTTAATAAATTTTTTCGTAAAAAAAAATATAAAATGGCGAAGTTCTTTGAAGGTGTTTAGAAGGTGTCGCGTGGAAGGTGTCGCGTGCAAGCTGAATTGGCATACAGAATGGCACTCGTTGTATCGACCTGAAACAAATAATTCGAAGAGTTTTTATTAATAAGGTTGTACCATTGTCGATAAACCTAAAAACGCGAAAAAAAATCAAAATTAACAAAGTTGTACGCTTTAAAAATTTTTTTCTGATTTTTCATAAAAATTTCGATCTATTTTTCAGCAAAAAAATTATTTTTTTAGACAATAAAAAAAAACATTTAGGTTCATCGACAATTATTTGACAATCTAAAGATGCATGCAAAATTTCAAAGCGATTGGTCAAATAGGTTTTTTGTAATCGTGTACGCCAGTTTCAAAAATACTGTTTCGAGAAAAACGCGTTTAAAGTTTTACGAAACGAAAAATATAAGTTCTTATAACTTACCGGTTAGTCTGTGATTCCAAGTCCATATAATAGACCTTCCACTTCCTCATATAGCATATTTTCTTCGAGTGCTTGTTGTTTTTTGGCTCTACGAGCCTCTTTCGACGAAGAAATGCTGCGTCGTTCCTGCCGAGGCACTCGCCACTCGTCTACGTTGTCGCCGTACATTTTACATTGTCTCCCTATTATCAGCTTGAGGGCCATCATTATTTGAAATATCGCCGAATATCCTTCATTGAAGAGGCCAGCAGCAATAAATGTTGCACTTTCGACGATTTTCAAGCCAGAATGCAAATGTTTTGGGCAGAAACGCCAAACGGTGCTATTGAAACTTTCATTTGCATTCTGCGTGTGGCCGCCGAGACATCGTTCTAAAAGATCTAATCTCAACAGATCTTCATAAATCGGCAGAATATGCTTCTGCACGTCTTCATGCAGTGGTGCAGGATGTTTGAATTCTGAGCCGATAGCCTGAGCTTTTTGCCATTGGCACCAGCTATCTGCTCCTGACGGACAGTACTCATGTCTCGGGTTCTCGTCCGTTGAGCATAAAATATGGTATGTTGCCATTATGGCGTTTTTCATATCCTGAACACTATCCACATTTCTTAGAATGGCGGGTCCGTAATATTTTGTCAGTTTTCTTATTAGAGTGTCCGTCAATTTTCCTTTACCACCCAGCTTATATGTTTTTTTTATATTTCGGAGGCGAGTACCCATCCTTTTTTGCACGTGCCCAACACATTCATTTTTGACAACTTTAAAATCATCTCCATACGGATTGACATCTAAAATTTCCTTGAATGTTTTACAATCCCCATCCCCGATATAATTTCTGTATTTAACTCCGTATTTCTCTTCTGATCGTAAAAACATCTCCGTTATCGCATCTACTTCGATCTTACCGGCGGATCCTTCATGATTTTTGAAACATTCTTCTTTGTGTTGTTCATACGAATCGAAATATTCTTGGGTATTTTCTTTTTTTCTCCAAAACATATAACTATGGCAATAGCTGCTTTTCACCGTGATATCAATAACTTTTCCAATATAGTAGGCGATAAGAGTTATGCCGTATAAGGATTGAAAGCCACGTTTTTTCCATGAACCATCACCGGATACTTTGAAATTCATAATCGGCTTCTCATGTTTTTGATTTTCGATCTTTTCTTCTTCCACAGCTTTCCGACAATAAATATGAAATACCGATTTTGTAGCACAGTAAATATATTCGATAATTTTGTTGTACGAACTTTCACTTAGGCTGTTGCAGATATTCATAAGATTGCAAAATAAATTCAGTCCGTCTCTGCTAATGCCTAAGAGACGCATAATGAAACAATCCTCTGATTAATTTCGAATCCAGTATTGATGAGCGGTCCTGAGTTGACGTATCTGCGACCACAGCGGCAAATCAAAACAAGCTTAAAACCAAGGCCCCGATTTCCAGCTTCTTCGAATTTTATATTTTGTTTGCACTGATGACAAATAACGAGATCCGATAGCGCAATAAAGACAGTGAAAAATGATTCGATAACCGTGTAGAGGATTACAACTAACAACCTCCCTGCTAACGTCGCGAACTTTTCTCGCGGATGCACTCTCTCCTTTACTTTCAGTTTCATTTTTGGTGTATTGATTAATCTGAAATTTTCTTTTACGCGGCCTCGGTGCTCGAGTAGTATCACTTTTTGTTCCTTTCGGATAACACTGCATTGTTATGCTCTAAAAATCGCTCTGTACACGTCGAGATTCAGAAAAAACCGACGAGGGCCTTATAAAGATTAGGTTAGGTTCGATGTCCCCTCTACAATAACGGTCAAAGACGATTTAAAAAGATAGGGTCTTAAAAGACAACCGTAGCTGTCCCCAGCGCTCACCTCAGTGCACCGTACCTGCGTCGTCCCGACATGACCCACTTTCGGAGCGTCTAGTGTCTAGAGTTTTTCAAATTTTGTTCTGAAATTTGAATTGTACATTCTTGAAGTATTATACTAATGAATTACGAAAAAAAAAATTTTTGTTTAAGGTTCTAAAAATATTTCTCCCCTTAAGCAACGAAGTTCCAGCTTCGACCGTAATAGGCATTTTTTAATTTCTAGTAATGATTGTTTTTCACATATACGATCTAAAATAAAGATATTGTTTAGACGTAAATAAATTTTCGAGATATCGATACTTTTGCAGCAATTTTCACGTTCGCAGCAATTTTCACGAACACGTTCTCGAAACGTACGTCGTTCAGGCTCTCGAGCAAGCTTACAAGAACATTGGTTTTACCGCAATTCGACGGGCCGCAAATGATCGCGCGTATAGTGCTAGGCAGCATTTCGCCATGCTTGCGCTTCTCCGCGCCGCCTCCCATCATTCGCGATTTCGCGTCACAGTTCAGCGGTTGCCGCACGAATTTCATGCTCGCACTAAAGGCTACGCGCTCTCGAACGACTATTTAAAGGCGCGCGAATTCGCGAATCGCGCAGTAGCAAAACGTATCTCGCGCTGTGTCATCCTTCCGATATTCGAGACTTGAGCGCCGAAAAGTTGCAGTATATACCGAAGGTCATACTCTTACACGTGTACGGCGACTACATCAAACACGTCTGGGACAAGCTTTCGGAACACGTAAAGGCTGATTCGAAGGTTCGAACTTATCGTCGCTGCAACGAGTACTACAATCAGCCGTGGCAACGGACGCACATCGACGGTCCGGCACCGAAGATAAAGGACAGTAGCGAATGTCAGCGTCGGGCGGCAGTTTGTTGAATTGAGCGATGAACGCGCTTCCTTTCGAGTTACATATTCCGGACTACCAGTTTTGCGGTCCGGGCACTCGGGTGACGAAGCGATTAGCCAGAGATGATACGAGCACAAATCCGCTGGACGCGGCGTGCTGAGAACACGACATTGCGTATTCTCGGAATAACGATCTCACCGATAGACACGCGGCGGATAAGGTACTCGCCGACAAAGCGCTAGGACGCGTCGTTGCGAGAGATTTGGCTATGAACGAGAGAACCGCCGCTGCTGCCATCTGGGCAACGATGAAAGCCAAGACTAAGATTGGTATGGGCATGAAATCGAAGAAGACGACAAGGAAAAAGGATACGAAAAAGTGGATACTTCTGACGGCGAAACGTGGCGGCGCGTTACCGTTTCTGCCAATGTTGGGCGCGCTCGGGTCCTTGATCGGCGGAGCAGTCAGCGCGGCGAAAGCGGTGAATGACAGCAAAGCTGCGCGACGTCAGCTCGAAGAACTGCAACGTCACGATCGCGTGATGGAACAGGGCAGCGGACTGTATCTCGCTCCGTACAAATACGGACGCGGATTGTATTTCGGCCCGTACAAACGTGGACAGGGCGAAGAAAAAAAACGCCAAAAAGACGATAAAAATACCGTTTGGCGCAACTACCAATGTAAATTGAACGAGCTCGCGAGACGTATACGCGTATCGTACTTTAGAGGCGTTTTCATGCGTAACGCATTACCGACGAGTTGCGTGCGCTGAAACGAAAGCGGTATCGTGAATCTGGACGATGCGACAGGACCCGGTATTCACTGGGTAGCGTACGCGAAGAGGAACAATCGCGTCGTGCACTTTAACAGTTTCGGTAATCTTCGACCGCCCAAGGAATTGGTAAGATATTTCGGGAACGATGCTACGACGATAGAGTACAATCGCACGTCATATCAGACGTACGATCAGAGCTTCTGCGGACAGATGTGCCTGCAGTTTCTACAAACGGTCGATGCGCGTGAATTTAAAAAGGTCGACAAGGTGCTGTGAAATCTCAGTATTGGTCGAACGCTTCTCCCGTCATATCGCTGACGCTTACGCTGAGCGGGAAGAGCACCGTCCTCGCGGTGAATTACTTTCCAGCCATAGATTTGAGTGACGGCGATTACAAGCTCGGTCTAGCGATTTTTGAGACTTATCACACAATATCGAACGTGAACAAATCGAACAACAAATTTTATTTCGCCAAAGACAATGCGTAAATTACAATTCCCGAGGGTTCGTACAAAGTGCGAGACATAAATGAATTTTTGAAACGCGCGATTTTACGAAAACGTCCGCCATGACGCACTTGAAACCATTGACGTAGTGCATGGTAACAAAAATAATAACAACAACGACGGCGATGACGATGGAGAATACCCGATTACACTCCGCGCAAAATATAACATGATAAGATGCGAGATTAGATGAGATTTCTTTTTCCTTTACTTTGTAATACATGTACTCGTATGTATGAACGTATGTATAAACGTATATGTATGTACGTATAAGTATATGTATATACTATGTATAAATGTATTAGGTGTTAAACTTAATTCCTGCCGCTCGCTACTAGAGGGTGCTGGCTCCAACGCTGACGAGTTTCGACGATGAAGTCATATGTCTTTTGTAGTTTAGACATCGCTGAAAGTGATTCAATCCTCACAAGTTAGATTTCTCGACGCCAAAGAGATTTTCCAATCGATTGAAAATTAATCGCGATAAGCTGTTTTTCCGCCATGTGCTTCTTCGCTACTTCGACCTCAAGAAAACCGCAGCTGAAGAGCATCGCTTATTATCCGAAGTGTATGATGATGAAACTCCATCGGAAAGAACATGTAGAGTTTGGTTTGAACGTTTCCGAAACGGTGACTTTGATGTGAGAGACAAAGAACGTCCAGGACAGCCGAAAAAATTCGAAGATGTCGAGCTGCAAGAATTGCTTGATGAGAATCCAGCTCAAACGCTTTTAGAGTTGTCGAAACAGTTAAATGTTACTCCAAAGGCCGATTGAGTGACGAATTGATGCAAAAAAGATCATCCATAGCCAACAATCAACGCAAAGTCATTTTGTTGCATGATAATGCTGGACCGCATGTCACGAAAAGCATGAAGCAGGCACTTCTAGAGCATGATGGGAAGTTCTCCCACATCCAGCGTACTCTTCAGACTTGGCACCAGGATTACCATCTCTTCCGATCGATGCAACACGCACTTACGGACACACACTTCTCCAATCACAACAAAGTCCAAAAATGGGTGGATGAATGGATCACCTCGAAAGACACCGCGTTCTACCGTCGTGGGATTGCCTTGTTGCCAGAGAGATGGGAAAAAGTAGTAGAAAATGGAGGAAATTACTTTCATTAAAGTATTCATTCATCTTCCCTTCGAAACAAATTAATTTTGGAGACGAAAAAACGGCAGGAATTAAGTTTAACACCTAATATATGTATGTATGTATGAACGTGTATGTATGAAGGTGTATGTATGAACGTGTATGTATGAACGTATATGTATGAACGTATAATATGTATGCAAATGTATGAACGTATGTGGGTATGTATGTATATATGTATCCGAAACATCGACGCTTCTGTTAAACGCGTCGCGACATGTCCGATCTGACAGTGTATATATGCAATGTATATAGGCAATGTATGTAGGCTTCAATTACGAGCGTTAAGACATAGATCGAGTTAAAGTATATATACGCCAAAAATCGAACGAGCGAAAAGGGTACCGTCCCTTGTCACTAAATCTGTCAAGTCCCCCGCCATCGAAGGAAGAAGC